ACCTGTAACCTGTGCTTTCTTCTATAAAAACAATCTGCTAGGTATCCTGTATGGAACCATGACTCTGGAGCTGGGTGGTCATGTCACCATTGCTTGTGAGAAAACAGGCTACAGTGCACAGCTGGAGTTCAAACTGAAGGTATGGCTTTGTTCTGTAGTTTAAAATACTTAAAAAATACTTAACTAAAGTACTTATTTAATAGTAGTAAATCGTGTGTAAGGGGAGGCCTTTAGGCTTGTGAAGTCCTAGATTTTGTAGTAACTGTTTAAGACTTTGAAAAAAACTCAGACTCACATGATTTTTCTGAATATCTCCTCCCCCCTGCCTGAAAAAACATCCCACCCCCTCCAACCACACCTCGCACCATCATCATTTACCAACTAGCGACAGGTACTTTATGATAAAGCAAACAGGGCAGCAAGTTTGTAAAGATAGTAAAAGTTTAAGGAATCCATTTATTTTGTAATTGCTGCCCCTCAGTTTTATATCCCTAAAGTGGGCAAACAGAACCTTGGGTTTTGTGTACCTTCTGGTACCTTAAACATGTAAGCGATTGGCAGTTTCTACAATGTTGTTTTCTTTTAATTGGTCTTCAATGAAAAGAGGTCGTATTAGTAAATTCTCTATGAGTAATAGTAAGTCACAGGATCTTTTTCTCGTACAGTAACTGCAGCAAGTAAACTGCTTTATATCCTTTCCTATTTCTTCTCCTCTCTCCTCTCCCATCCCTTCCTCTCTGCCTCCTCTTCCTTCTCTTTCCTCCATTTCCCGCCCTGTTGTTTCCGTTTTTCCTGCAGCCTTTCCTGGGCAGCAGTGACTGTGTTAATCAAATCTCTGGAAAGATCAAGCTGGGAAAGGAGGTGTTAGCTACACTAGAAGGACACTGGGTAAGACGTGGTCTCTGTGTTCCTGTAATCACTGCCTGTTTCATAAAAACACAGATACAACATGTATCTGTGTATGTTTTGTGTCTTTAAAATCATTATTGGATTGATGTGTTGACATTTTGCTAATATTAATTCCTTATATAGAAATGAAATATAAAACCAGTAATACAAGCTGCTGTGTTTCCTTCTGGTTTAAGAAAAGCTGGCAGATTTTATCAAACTAGACTTTATACCCACAGAAAAAATTAACTTTGTTTGTTGGGTAATGTTTCAAAACGACCATGTTAAAAGCTATTTTTGTACTTTCCCCCTCAGGATAGTGAGATCTTCATTAATGATAAGAAGACTGGGATAGTGGACACTTTCTGGAACCCCACGACGGAGCTGAGGCAGAGCCGACTGACTCGTTGCACCGTCCCACTAGAGGAGCAGGGAGAGTCTGAGGCAGAAAGGTGAGCTTTGATTCGACTATGATCAGAGTATTGACTGTCAAATGTAACAGATTATCTGAAATGCACTTACTACATTGTGCAAAGGTTTGATGCTTCTGCAAACCACTTTGCAACCCCTTTCGCCGGAGTATTGCTGTTGCTTCTGGATCAGAGCGATACAGCCAAATCCATGTTTCTGCACATGGAACTGTAGCTTTGTTTCAGCTGTACTGGTCCTGAGTCTTATCTTTTGGTCTTTCATTAATGCTTTGTTTTTCCTTCTCAATCCGGCAGACTGTGGCAACACGTGACACGAGCCATCAACAACAAGGACCAGACCGAAGCCACCAATGAGAAGTTCATACTGGAGGAAGCTCAGAGGAAGTCGGCGCGTGAGCGGAAAGCCAAATGTGAGGAGTGGAGTCCTGCCCTGTTCGAGCAGGACCCCATCACCGGAGAGTGGCATTACAAATATGCCGAGTGAGTGACTCCTCTGTTGCTCGTAAGCGGGTGTGCTTTGAAATCCCCCACCCCCCTGTGTGTTTAATGGAGATAAGAAAGCGCTGAGGTATGAGCTTCATTCATGTCTCTGCTGGATACCGACAAAGCAGAGCTGGTGAAACTGCAGTAAAAATGACAAAAACAGTTAAGCTTGTGTCCTGATGTGTTCACCTTCTGCTGGCGTCATTGCAAACAGAATTTGCACTGGACGTCACTTCCGGAAGTGTTTTACAAGCGTATTTGCAGTCAGCTGGTTTTAAATAGATTTCCCTCTAAAGGTACATTTTATTGTTTGCCTCAGTCTCAGTGTGGCAGGGCGCCATCTAGTGGTGATCCCCTATATGCATAGGTGATGTCCAGCTTACAGTTATTTACTGTTATAATGAGAATTCTTTTGTGTGTAAGATACAGTATGCTAGATGAGAAAGAGGAAAACTGTGAGTGGTATTTATATCAGAAAAGTTATATTGATCCCTCTTCTTTTTCATCCTTATTGTGTTTCTTCGTCTCTATCATCCTCAGCACAAGGCCTTGGGATCCACTCAACGACCTGATCCAGTTCGAGAAAGATGGCTGCATCCAGACCAAGGTCCGACACCGCACCCCTATGGTACGTTCTGGCAGTCTTATTAGTCTGAGTAACCAGGGGCCGCGGAGGGACAATTGCAAATGCCAGGTAGGTTGTCCAAATCGAAAACCGCCGTGAAGCAATGCATCTCGCCGTCTCAGCCATCTTCCATCCATGCATCTCAAAGCACCCTGCGCACCACCTTCATTGTGACTTCTCTGTGTTGTCTTCGCGGTGCTGCCACCACCATCGTCGCTTCTGCTCCACGTTATTGTGATGTTTTTTTTCTTTGTGCCACCACCTTTATTTTGACCTTTCTTGCTGTTCAATGCGACAGAAGGTCTTGTCAAACTGCATGCTGTAGTAACTGGATGACAAGGCATTCTTCCTTCGTTCACGCTGAAGAGACGAGCATTGTTCAGCACGAAGGAG